AGTTAATTAATTTTCATTATAGACAGCTTTATAAAAGTATAAAAGCTCTCATAAAGTATTTTTCTGAGGTCTGTCTTATCAGGTAAATTACTGTACACAGTGTATTCATTAATTTTCATTTTCATGTAGTAAAGGCTCTATGCCTTCATAAAGGACGTACTTTTCCTTTGTTTAAGGGTATTTGGGCAGTTTAATCTCTGTTATATTCTGAAGTAAACAATACATACAAGTACAGTACAGTATTTTCTGAGGAAACACTCGTACTTATTTTTTTAACCCCATTCCCGATAACCCGGCATTTTTATAAACTCGGCCACCCTTCGGTCCACATTAGGCCGAGTTTTCGAGGTTCTACTGTATTTACTTTTAATATTACTGATATGTCATCGAAAAGAAAACGTGTTGTATTATCATTAAAAGACAAATTGAAGTATTTCTTTCGATTATCCGGATTTTTCCTTATCCCCAATTAGTCCGGATAATCGAGGTTCTACTGTATTAGATTAGTACAAAAGTACTAGGTAAAACAACAATTGGTACAAAAGCTTACCTGCTTGAGCACTTGGCTACTTTTGGGCTACTTTTTAAAAATTATTTGGCTACAAGGGCAAAAAACATCTGGCAACGCTGAATTGACACCGAATTGTGCACATTCGATAAATATTCCTACAATTTTTTCTTTATAGAATATTTTATATGAATTATTACAAAAAATTATACGTGTTTTGAAAAAGTTCGAGTCACATTAGTCTAGAATCGATTCATTTTATAGAAGACTACTTGGTAAAACTTTTCAAACAGCCGTACCTCCTATATTGCAGGTGCTCGTTTCAAGATGGCCGAGGTTACAGTAAGGTGATAAGAAGTCAGTAGAACGAAAGATACACGTTATAACAAAATGGCAAGCGTCATGAGTTCATCCAGAAAGAGATTTATCGTCGGTGGAAAATATAAATTCATACGTAAGATAGGAAGTGGTTCGTTCGGAGATATTTATCTTGGCATCGACGTCACAAATGGAGAAGGTGTTGCTATAAAATTGGAGTCAAGAAAAGTAAAGTATCCACGACTACTCTACGAAAGCAAATTATATGAAATTCTTCAAGGTGGTATCGGTATATCTCATATATTATGGTATGGGCAAGAAAGAAATTATAATGCTTTAGTAATGGATCTTGTTGGAACAAGTTTAGAAAATCTTTTTACGTTATGTTCACGACATTTTACTATGAAAACTGTGTTAATGTTAGCCGATCAGATGATTGAACGAATTGAATATGTTCACAATAAGAATTTCATTCATCGAGACATTAAACCAGATAATTTTCTTATTGGAATTGGAAAACATCTCAATAAGCTTTATCTCATAGACTTTGGTTTAGCAAGACCATACATTCTCAGAGGACAACATATACCTTATCGTGAGGATAGAAATTTGACTGGTACTATCAGTTATGTTAGCATTAATACCCATTTGGGTATCGAACAAAGTCGTAGGGACGATATGGAGTCGATAGGATACGTGTTAATGTATTTTAATCGTGGCAGTCTACCGTGGCAAGGTTTGGAAGTAGCAACCGAAACAGAGAGATACGAAAAAGTACGTGAAATAAAAATGTCGATACCAGTAGAAGTTCTTTGTAATGGATTTCCGGCAGAATTTGCAACGTATTTGAATTACTGTCGAGGTCTCCGCTTTGATGAAACGCCAGATTATACGTACCTGAGGCAATTATTTAGCAATTTATTTCGCACACTTAATTATCAATACGACTGTGTATTCGATTGGAATAAGCCTAAGTAAAAACAGAAGACCGACCAGTCGGAAGTATATTGATGTTTTTTTGGTGACTCGTACTGAATGGTTTCCGTTTTATTTTTATGTAAAAACAGTTTTGTCAATGGAGATGTAACAACATTATAAGAGATTCTGTGACTAGTAATGATTTTCAATTGTTTTTTATTGTTCCAATAGCAGATACATCGTTATTTCTACATCTTATTTGTACCGTTTAATGTGTTAATCGTTTGTACATATCTATTTTAAACTGTAAATGTTTAAATTACACTTCCAACATCTAATAACTTTTGTAAACTCTTTAAGAATTACACAGGAATATGAATTTTTCATTCCAGTATATTTTACAGAGGTTATAGTATTAAAAAATACTATAGCCGCCCGCCCGCTAGATATTTGGCCGATTACGTGAATAACAAGTAGATTTATAACTTAACTTAAACTCTGGACGAGTCCATTTTCGAATTGCCCCCTTAACAATCCAATTGCCCTCCTGTGGGGCGTGGGCCCTACGTTAAATACTGCATTAATTGTTTTTCCTTAAGTGTTAAGTGTGTCAACTTGCTTCCTTTCCATCACATAAATTTTCCACTGTTGCCAAATTCATTATAAACGTGGAAAAATATTTTTTAACACTTAGTGTAGATGAAATAAGCCCGCATGTGCATGTGTCTATCCCACCAGTCAACGAGATTAATTCACAAAATTTTTAATGATGATTTAACACCTTCTTAATAAAACTACGATAAATTACGGCTTTTTTTTAACATACTATTTGGCAATTACATTGTTCTCAATGGCCATCCTTCCTTCCATCTTCACTTTACGAACCAGATGTCAACGTTTAATCTATAAATTTGTTCATCCATACCTGTGAATGGTAAACACCTGTTTTGTGCAGATGTTCAAGTGTGACGTCAAACATAATAAGCAAATAAACTGTAGCGAAGAAAAGGAAAACGTCATTAATGCTTAAGGCTGTTTACTAAGAACTCTTTAGTGTGGTTAAATGACGTTGTTTATGAATAACTCATTTGCATTCTTAATGGGTCGTTTAGTGTTTGTAACTATTTATATATTTTAAACATTATACAATTGATAGTTCTTGAATTTATACAAAATAAATTCTCTTTCTTCAATTAATCATCATTTGTAGACCTAAAAATAAAAATATAATCAAGCATCTTAGTGACAGCGAATTAAAATGAAATTTGATCAAAGGCTATAAAAGGATACTTTCATTTATTTCTTTCCATGAATATCTCACTGCTTTTTCCTGATAATTTCGTAATAAACTTAATTTGTCACTGTGAAACTATTCTGTAAATTTGAATTTTAAACAACTTTGTATTAAAAAAAAAACATCTGTTCAGAATATTATTAGAACGACGATTTTTAAGTTTATATATTTAGAAACAAATATAAGTAAGCACAATTATCTTCGTATAATTGTATATACCTAATTAATTAAAATTACAATAAACAATTCTCGATATTAAGACAAAATAAAACTTTATTTTAAATATTGAGAAGCAATTTACAGTTATAAACTTTTCTGAAAACTGGGAGATCGCTCCGAAATGAATCGTGGCATTTTATAAGGCCTCCAGTGGCGAAAGTTTATGCCTCCTAGCGCAGAAATTATTTATTTTCTTTCGATTTCAGATTTTTCCGGTAATGTAAACGACATCGCCTATTTCGTTTTTCGAATTCGTCTATAGAAAAATAAACTGAGTCTGCCTGACGTTAAGCTCTGTTTAATTATACTAAACACAATAGAAAAATGTAAAAAACAAATCGAATATATCACACGAGTTAATATGAATATTCGACGAATATTCATGTATGCAGGAATAATGTTCTATATAAAATTTAAAATTTAAATTTTCTGTATTTCTTTCTTTTATAAACGTCGAAAGAAAGTGAAAAAGTATAAACAATACGAACAGTAATAATCTCTCTTCTCCGTTGTCAATCTTATTTGTCTTGTTAAAAGGGTTTCAAAAGGTGTTTTGTACCTTGCTTTTGTTATCAGAAAATTGAAGGTTGCTTATTCATCACGTGCCGTTGGAGTAATTTGAAACAAAATAATCGGTTCGAAAGAGTTTAAGCGTGTTTATATCGTTATTTATTTATTTAACATTGATATTATTTAAAATAGTCAATAAAAATATCTTAGACGGATACAAACGAAAAGGATACGTTAAAGCTTCTAATATATCTATTTTACGATCTTAATATTAAGTAATGCACTTTTCTGGGGATCATTACTAATATAAAAGCCGTTGTCTGTGTGCGAATATTTTATAACTCCTGCAATTTTTGTCCAATCCAGATAAAATGTTGGTTCTATTCGTTTTATGTTCCGACGGAATGTGTAGACTACTTATTTTACGGAAATATTAGCTGTAGAACAAACGTTTTATCGTTTCTTAATTAATATTTGTATATATTTTTAATTATTAGTTCTGTCTTTTCGTTAGCTTTACGTACGAATATAAAAAGTAATTTCATTAAACAAATTTCTTGTAAAATTACTTTTTACATATGAGATTTTTATAGAACTTGCTACATTTTAATAAATTCATTCTCTAATTATTGCCGAATCAAAAAGTATACTATTCTATTATTTTCTTTTTCGAAATCATATTGGATTTTATTATGGTGAATATTTTAATGATTAATTCCATGTTCATTTTAATATTACGTAGAGCGTTTTTTAATACTGTAATATTAAATAGACTGTACCGTCGTTACAATAAATAACCAGTGTTCACCCATTTCTGTGATTTCTTCGGCTGCGCCAATAGTTTGTGATAAGTTCTGCAAACACCTAAACTTAGTGCTCACATATTCTATTTTTATATATTTATTAACAAATTTTCAAATACAAGATTTCAAACAACATAGCTGTGTTTTGAAGACGACATAACAAAATTACCCTTATTCGTGCGCGCAAACACTCTTCATTATGTCACGCATAGAGTGACACAGCATATTTTTGGATATCTTATTTATTGTATAATAAATTTTTGCCTTCAAAATTTTATAAACGATCTTCACATGCCAAACTCTTCATTCACAAACTATTCATTCTCCTGTTTGTAAACAAAAAGTTGGATATTTGGCCCCTGCACGTTTCCTCACTTTTACAAAACTTTAGTGACAATTTATTGTTTCTCGGTACCGCAGTTTCCATTTTTTTTTTAGCGTGACGACGCAAATTAAATTATATATTTATATTTATTATTTTGGGATCACATATTGACATTTTTATTCATTGCAATGTACAACAGCGAAATAAATAATTTACTTAGCTTCTTTGATAATTTTGCAATGTAAATACGTGTAATTTATTATAAATTATAATAAATAAATGATGCCTTGAACACAGTTAAATTCTTCCGAGCAGATTATTTTCATTGTAATTAATTTTAAAACGCGCGATGAATAAGCAAACTTTGGACCAACTGATAAGAAAAAACAAAAGACGTTTTGAAAACCTTTTAACACCATAAATGAGATTGACAAGCAATAAGACAGATAATTGGCTCTGTACTTTTAGTTGTCGCGGTAAATTTTAAATACTTCCGGGAATAAAGTTCAAGGGTAATAATTATATTTAATTATTAACCCTTATATAAATACATTTTATATATTTTAAAAATAATATTAATAATTGTTATTAATGATAGGCGTTTCGACATTAATCACCAACTAACCGATTTTTTAAATTATTTATTGTTACCAGACATTCCTTTTGCGTTCGGTAGAATTATTTACAGATGAAAATTAAATTTTAACTTGAAGATTAATCCAAGACGTTTTCCCTCTAATGTCTTCTTTCCGATTATATTTTGTATTAATAGGTTATTGATCATCGGAAGCTATGTTCATTTTTTAAATACTTTTCTCTCACTTTTTTCAATATTTTCAATAGAAAAAACAAATATTGTAAATAAAATACGGCTTCGTTTGTGTTGAATATTTTAAAGATTAATTCTGAATCATATGTAAATAACTATTCTGTAATGCAAATTTGTATAAATTCGATACGAACAACTGAAATGATTTGTGGGTGATCACCATCCACATGTTTCTACACTGATTTTAAGCATGTATCGTACGGGTGTAGAACAGTACATAATAATTAGTTTTACAGCTGAATACTTATCGAATATTCGTACATTAAATAATCTGCGATATTTGCTTTTATTTTTAATTTGAGAGCTTTTAAAACTGGTTAAATTGAATGCGAAAATACTCATTTCGAAATTGCTTCTATTTCTACTTTTTTCATATATTTTAGTGTTGTTCTTAGCTTTTAGAAATGACTGAAATCGCAAACTATTATTGTATTATTGTTTCTCATTACGAAAAATAAGATTTCGTTATTAACTTTTTCTCTATAATCGTAATCTTTTCGTTTTATTTAGTCTTTGTGTACGAATGTAATTTTTTTAATGTAAATTTGTTTAAACATCGTTGAAACTTAAACCTAATTGAAAGAATAAATACACATTCTTATGATTATGAATTTAAATATCTTCAGCAAACTGTAATTCGAGTGTTATAAACAACTGACGAAGCCAAAAATAATAAGATTATCCATTTATTGCAATTGTTCAATTCAAACAGGAAAAACTGAGTTGATATTTGCTTATTTATTACAGTATTGACGAAATATTCACCAAATGCTTTATTAAAAGCTTTATCGACTTTTTATTTACACATGCTTAAATACTATTTGGAATATTTTTCACTTCACACGATTACATATAGATTATCACCAAGATATTATGATTACTTATATTTATTTCTGGCTGTTTAAATTTGGAAATCGTCATTCTAATAATATTTTCATGCAAATTTGTCGAGAATTACAATTTACAGATTAATTTCTCAGAGACAAATTCATTTTTACTAAATAAAAGCGTTTCCACAGCATAAGTCATATTTGACCATTCACCATCACTAAAACGCTTAAAAAGATATTTTTTTACATAATAATAATATTAAAATAATAATGATTAATTTAGAAAACATAATTTATTCCATATATAAATTCAAGAACTATCAATTGTATAATATTTAAAATATATTGATATAAATAGTTACAAACACTAAAAAAAAATGCATTAAGAATGCTAATGAGTTATCAGCAAACTTTCAGCCTCAGTGAACAATGCCATTAAGGATAACGAGTTTTCGGTAAACAGCCTTAAGGATTAAAGAGGTTTTACATTTTGTGGCTTTAGTCTGCTAATTATTTTTGACGTCACATTTGAAAACATGCGCAAATCACGTGCTTACCGTTCTGCTATAAAAGCGTGGACTCTTAAAGTCGTTTAGTACATAAAGCTTAGTTTACACTGAGCGCGATTCGCTAGCGAAAGCGGAAAACTGAGCGAATAACCGCTCTGTTTTTGACGGGTTATTCGCTTTCGCTAGCGAATCGAGCTCAGTG